AAAAAAAAAAAAAAAAAAAAAAAACTCAATATGAGTACACATAATAACATAAAAAAAAACAAGTTAATTTGTCTTTTCCATATAACCTAATAGTTCTAATAAAATCAATATTATACCCTTTTACTAATTTCATTCACATAGTAATTAAAATTTTGAAATAAGTTTCTTCTGTGTAAAACTGTAATGTTCTAATTTTCTGTATCGTTTTAGTAAAAGCAATGAAGATAATTTTCTGTAAAACTGTATATTTTTAACCTCATTCTTTACTTTTTGGATTTTGCAATGAAGATAATTTTCTGCAAATTAATCTACGATAATTTTGCGATTTGCCATATTTTTTCCTAATAGATTAATACATATGGAGATCGATTAATATACATATTTAAAAACATTTATAAGAAATTTACACGCCCATAAACTAGGTAGATTTCTATATATTTTAAGTCATCTCACTTTATCCAAATAATATAATTTCAAATATATATAATAGCAATTAAGTTTAAAATGTATGTTATTTAATGAAATAAAATTTAATAATTAATATTTATAAACTAAAATTCAAAATATTTGAAAACAATGACTGAAATACCAGGATCAATTAATAATTAAGAGATATTATTAAGTAATAAATTTCTAAATATATATATACATAAACAGAGAGAACATATTTATCAAAAATAGTAACAAGAAAAGTTAATCAACATTTGTTGCATTCTAATTTTCGGCAGTTTTTTGATTTTTTTTAAATAATTCCAAAAAAATCGATGAGCTATATATGAACCCTAAATTCATGAGTTTTGTATATTTATTTTAGATAAATTTCGACGGATGCTTACAATTTTACAAAAGTCAAAATTCTTTCTCTTTTTTATTAGAAAAATGATTACCATAAAATCGGGAATTTCGAATTAGGTAAAATTCTATCCATATAACTTTTTCTAATTGCAACAGATGAATTGTTTATTAAAACAATGGATTACATAGAAATTGGGTTAATTTAGGTAAAATTCGGCATGACAATTTTATAAAAGTCCAAATTCTCTCATTTTTTTATTAAAAAAAAAATATTTACCTTAAAATCAAGAATTTTGAATTAGGCAAAGTACTGTAACATGTATCTTTACCTAATTGCAACATATAATGTTTATTAAAAAAATCAGATTGCATTGAAATCGGCCCAATTTTAAATTGAAATTTAAAATTAGAAACCCCTTATCGAATAGTATTAATTTGAAATTTAAAACGAAATCGACTTGGAACATCCTAAAATTTAGGTTTTGTTTAATCATCTATAATACAAATTTTAAATTGATTGTCATACACGTACACAATTATTCTCTTCCTTAAATTAAGTAATTTACTTTTTTCAAGTAATAAGATTATAAATTATCAAGAAAGACGTTTTACAATCTCTGTTATATTTGACTATGTAATTTTCATAAAACCAGTATAAATCCTATTATGTATATCCTACTAAATAATTATTGATTTATTTAAGTCTATCAAGAATACTAATATAATTTGTGGTGATAAACGATGTACAAAAAGACCAAACAAATAACATTGTGTACAATGATGTGTTTAATAATATATAAATCACATTTTGTTTTATTCTAATACATGGTTTTTACGTTCTTCCAGTCATCCAAATTTAAATGTCCACCTTACTAATACTAGCCCGTGCATTGCACGGGTACTGCACTAGTTGTGGATAGAAAGATATCTAAAATCTTTACATCCCTTCTGATTGGTTGGTTTTCCTCATAAGCCACAATTTCTTACACACAATCTTCACCACTCATCCACAGATCTATTCTCTTTTTCCAGACATAAAAAATCTTTCCTCTTTAACTATTCTCCTTACACTTACACACACTGCAAGAGCAAAAATAAAAATAATAATAGTCTAA